CCCCAAAACCCCAAAACCCCAAAACCCCTAGCAATATCGTAATCTTTAGTTTAATATTGATGAGAAATAAATAAGAATTTAATGAGGAAAAAGAAGAAAAGGTGATTAGTGACATAATTGGATTCATATATATGAGTAATAAAGAATAGTTTTGAATGGGAAAGATTGTTACTTGGGGAAATAACAATATGTAGAGTGTGTGCAACTGTCACTGTGTTCATGCTCATTCTTTTTGGACCTTAAGATCTTTTTTACCTCCTCTAATGAGACCGGTTCTTCTGGCGGCGATGAGACCAACCTTCTTACCGTGAGAGGCGTATCTGCTGACAGTTGAGGGGTGACCAATATGTTGTTGGTTACCACCACCATGTGGATGGTCTACGGGGTTCATAGCAACACCTCTAACTCTTGGCCAGGTTCCTCTTCTCTTTGCTTTCCATCTGTAATATGAGTTACCGGCTTTGCAAATTGGCTTGTCAGTTCTGCCACCACCAGCAACGACTCCAATCATAGCTCTGCAGTTGCCTGGAATGGTTCTTCTGGTTCCTGATGGAAGTCTTACTCTGGTCTTTTTGCCATCATCGCTGTGACCGATGATGATGGTTGAGGTACCGGAAGCTCTGGCGAAAGAGCCTCTGTCTCCGGTCTTTGCTTCACAGTTGGAAACAATGGTTCCTTCTGGGAGTTGGTTGACTGGTAAGATATTGCCAACGGAGAGAGCAGCTATATATTCAATAATTAATATTTTAAATAGGAGTACCTTTAGAACCTGCATATACGAACTAGCCAGTATAGAGGCCTTCTACAGCAACGAAATACTCAGTTCTGTGCTTGTACTTGTATGGGTCTCTGAAAACAACTTTGGCAAGAGGAGCTCCACGGCCTGGATCGTGAACGATTTCCTACACAACTCCCTTGATGTACCTAATAAGGATCAGACTAAGGATGGATGTGTTACCCTTCTCTCTCGGCGAAATCAAGAGTTCTGAATTGAGCTGGTGCGATTCTCTTCGAAAAGTGAGATCTGAAAATGGTGCTGGCTCCCTTTCTCTGGGCTATAGGGCACAAAGGGGTTAGGAAAATGTGTTTGGCAAATGATATGGATCTTACATCTGATGACTCTTCCCATTATTAATGTATATACTTCTTAAAATAATATAAGATTCCTCGCACTTAGTTAATAACCCAAATCAAACCTCAGGAATTAATTAATAAATATGAGATTTATATATCATTTTGTTTAATTTAATGGCTTTAAAATTAAGAAATAAAGTTAATTTAAAGCAGTGATTCATAGGTATTAAATCCATAATAAGAATGAAATCAAAGTTTGATATTAGAGATTCTCCTGATAATCTAAAGGTGAAACTATTGTTTGGTTTTAGCATTTAAATTTGTCCAGTCTGTTAAATTTGAATTGAGAGAAAAATATTTGGCTTATTAAGTTTGATTTTAATCAAAAGCATAGACTATCTCTTGATTGCTTCAAGTTAAAGATTCGAAATCAAGATGGATGCTTATATTCAAAATTGCAAGCATTATTCAACAGGGATCGAGAAGAAATAAAATGAATATGTTTTTTAATACTCATTGTTTTTTCGGTGTTTTGAGAGTGAAATAATAATAAATTATTAACCCTTAATTATAAATTAATATTTTTAGAAATATGTCAAGCAGCATCTGGAACCTTACTCATCCACTAAGAACTGGATATGTTCATTTAAAGCCTGGTGGTTGTGAGCAATTTGGAACTGTCATCAGACAAGGAAAGATGAAGAAGACTGTCTCAGTAAGTTCAAATAAAATCATTACGATTGCAAATATATGAACTATATTTATAGGTGATGGTGACTAGATATAGATATAACAAGAAATATGGACTTTGGCAAAGCAGAAACCATCTAAAGCATGTTCATGATGAAGATGAATACTGTAGAACTGGAGATAAAGTAGTGATTTCCACATGCAAGAAACTGAGTAATCTAAAGCACTATTACGTGAGAAATGTAATCAAGCCAGTTGGTAGAGTCAACATGTACGAGAAAGACATAACCTAATATGAAAGGGACCAGATTAAATTCAACGAAAATCTCAGATAAAATCTAGAAAGAATGATGATCATATGATTAATGATAATTAACCTAATAATTGCACTGTAACTTTAATCTCTCTCATTGATTAACAGAGGATAAAATAAGCATTAGCTGTGGAAAAATATTTAAGTTAAAACTTTATTTCAAATATCAAATTAAGTGATAATTACAGCGAAGTCTTATTCAATTCAACGCCTTGATTCGTTCTTACTTGATTACCTCCTTGATTACGGCAATTTTTATTAAGGCGTGCTAGAAGCAGTGCTTATAGTTAATTTCGAAGCGCTACTTGAATTCTGAGCATTTTTTTACTTTTGGTCTCTTTCCCTCTCATTCCTTGAGTATTATTAGTACACATCAATTTATTGCTATTTCGAGCACATCAAACTCAATCTTGTATATTCTTTTTTCTAATGATAGAGTTTTTCTTTATTACTCTATAATCTGGCTCTCTAATTATCTATTTTTCTCTGAATATACTTTTTATTTTCATCTTGTAAACGCTTTATGTTCTCATCGTTTAAATCGTATTCCTGATAATCTTTCAGTTTTTGCTCAACAGCATCAAGTTCCTTTTTCAAATATTAGTTTTGGCTTTAAACAACTATAGGATTAAACGGCATTTCCAACTTTTTAAAGGGTCTAAACGATATTTTAAAAAACAATAAAATTTATTTACTCTTAGTTTTCACTAGCCTTCTTTATTATTTTTAGTCTCTACTGAATTACATCTATCTCAAGTATTTAACTAGACATCATTTCTGTATAATGTAGAGCTATTGCTAAATCCCTATCTTTTTCATTTCCTTGCTTACACTAGTCAACTTTGACTCTTATTTCTGTATTCTTATAATATCATCATACTTCTCTTCAATATATATTTGTAAGCACCTCTGCTTGTTTTTTTGCTTCTTGATTTCCTCTTTCAAAAATTCTTTGATTTCTTTTTCTACGTCATTTTAAGGCTGTAGTGGACCATTTTAGGTGCTTATTAAGATTTAAGGATTAGGTTATTATAGCTGTGTAGTGTTATTTGAGCCAGGGGAATTTTACTATTTTTGAGATGATAACTGATTCATGAATTTAATTTAACAAATCGATCGATTTAAACTCTAAATATTAGCACTATAATAAAATAGATATAAATTCCAATTATGGTCAAGTTCTACGAAGATTTCAACTCTAACCTTTCAGGTAAATATTCAAGATAATGTGAGTAATAAGCATCTTAGACCTACTTAATAAGAAGTTCGGAGGAGAAGGGTTCATCGCTAAAGTCAAGACTTCCCACATTGTGAGTTTATAGAAATTTTCTAATATATCTTATAGAAAGTGAAAGGCAATGCAAGCATTAAGGATGCTACCTCAAATATTTCTTCAAAATTATCATACAAAATTAATGACAATGTTGATACCAGTCTCACTGTGAGCACCCCTCACCACTATCTATTGAAACTCACTACTGACTTCAAGGACCGTTTCAAGGATTCAGCAGCAAAGTTGACCGGATTCAAGATTGAAGCTGAACTTGGGTGCGATGAGCATACTCACACTTACCCAACCACTTTCCACAGTAACCTTAAATTCAACAATAAAGTTGGCTTACACACCTAAGTCATGACTGAGAAGGGCAATAGTCTCTTAGCTCAACTTGATATTTATGCAAATATTTACAAATAGATTTATGGAGGTGGAGAAGTAATTTATGATGATAAGGCCAAATCCCTTATTCTCAGTAAATATGGTCTCTTCTATAGATTCAATAAGGATTACAATGTCGCTCTTGAGTATTCTCAAGAAGGTGATTTGAAGACAGTTCAGTCATCCTTCTACCACAATGCCAATCCCAACACTGCTGTTGGTTCCAGATTTGTTCTTGATTTGGACACTCAGAAGATTGGAGTTACTTCAGCTGTGCAGCACAAACTCGATGAAGCTACCACTTTGAAAGCTAGAGTTGACAATCTCGGTACCCTTGATCTCGCTGTAACCAGCAGAATAAGTGAAAATCTTACAGCCACCTTCTCAACTGGTATGAATGCTAGTGGAGTTCTTCATGGAAAAACTCATGATGAATCCTACTCAGGCCTTCAATTCAGTTTTAATCTCTGATAAATGCAGAAGAAAAAGTTTGATGAAAATTATTTCCTCTCGATTAAGAGATTTCTGTACTTGATTATTTAAAATGATCCACTATCAATCTTTTATATCTTTATCTTATTATAAACAACTAATATCACGTAAATTAATAAGAATCACAGTAAAAATTATCAAAGATTAACAGATTAATATAAACTATTCTTAAAGGAGCGATTCAATTTACAGAGACTAGAATTCTCTCATTCTCATCAATGATATTTTTTATATGTTCAAATCATTTGTCTTTGGGAGCAAAAGATGTTCCACAACTACAACCCAGTTCTGCGTTTGGGTTTTCTACTACTTCGAATGATTACCTGATCATCTCTTTTTTATAGTCTATTACTGAACCATCTATAAATTCTAATGTAGTCTCGTCTACAGCTACATGGGCTCCATCCTTCTCAAATACTCTATAAAGTTTATGATTGTCAAAGTAATGGCATACAATTCATCTTCTTCTAGATCGTTTACCATTTTGAAATTATATTGAAAGCCTGAGCATCCTCCACTGTCTACATAAATCTTCAAATATTTTTTGCTTTCATCCTTTGCAAATAGTTACTTTATTTTCTAAGAAATGTCTTAAAAATAATAAGCCTTACTTAAACAGTTTTATCAGTGATTATTAGTTTAAACTGAGGTTTTTCCTCACTATAGCTCGGATGATTTTACGTCTTCTCATCGAGTAATTGAGCGTATGTAAATTCTGATTCGTCATGTTATTTACCTGCTGCCATAACTTTTGATCCAGAGAATTGTCGAACTTAATTTGACAATAAATTTCTTTAAATTGTGCGCCTTATTATATTATGCTAAGATTTGCTCAAGAGAAAGAACCTTTGGAAATTTCTGACTATCATTTTATAATTTGTCTATTTCTGTGAATTAAAATATTATCATATTATTAGTTTTTCGATTTCTATCACTTTTTGAATGTAGGGGTTTTGGGGTTTTGGGGAGATCGGA